ATTTTATGACGTTGTTTCAACTGTCAAAAATCTCCCAGCCCCCCCCCCCCCCTATTTTTTTGACGTAACTAATGGACGCCCCCTAAGGTGTTTGATAAAGTTGTGTATGATACTTCATGAAGTTGTGTACAGTACTTCATGAAGTTGTGTACGGTGCTTGATGAAGTTGTGTACGGCAGTGGTTCCCAAACTTTTAAGTTTAGCGGACCGGTGAACAAGTTTCGATTTTTTACCAGGGACCAGTGCATGATTTATTTTTATACTTTTATTTCTATTTGACAATAAATATTTATGTTATGGGGACCGGCAGCGTTAGGAATCTGGACCGGTGAAGGTCCACGGACCGCCATTTGGAGACCACTGGTGTACGGTACTTGTTGAAGTAGTGTACGGTACTTGACGATGAACGGTACTTGATGAAGCTGTGTACGGTACTTAATATAGCCAACTTTTCAGGCCCGCACCTAGGAAATTCTGGGCCCCAGGTAGCTGACCCTTCGTGTTTCAAGCATGTACGTATATTTTAAAAACTCGAAAAAGGACGGGCCCCTATCTATCTAGGGCCCCCGACAAGTGCCCCCCCCCCCCCCCCCCCAGGAGCGGGCCTGAGCTTTAAAGTTAATGGTTTGTAGAATTGGTCCCACGATTACAAAATTAAAATCATCTGCGGAAAACAATTTTTTTTCCGAAACAGACAGGCTGGGAGAACCTCGGTCTTAACCGATTGGGATCCCTTGACACTTATTTTGGAGGTACCGGTATTACGTAACTTTTTTTGGCGCGTCGCCAGATCTCTCTGTGCTTCATGTGGCGACATGAATCGAACTTCTTATAAATATCACATTCACAATGAGCTTTTGTTTTTTCTTCACTCGCTCCCCTACCACACCCCACAAAAAAAAAAGAGGGAAAAAAAACAACCTTTTACTTTAAAAAAAGAAAAAGAAAACCATGCAGCCACGTCAAACTTTACTTACTGACATGTCCTCCTTTGAAGACAATGACAACAAACATGCTATTGTTTCCATTCATCCCGCGATTACCTTATTGTGAGTGCGATTGTGATAACCACATGGCACACCCCCAAAACTAACATGCCAGTATTGTTGCAGCCGACAAGGCCGTGGTATGATCCATGCATGCCCAGCTATTGTTGCAGCCGATAATGTCTGAGGTAGTATGACGTCACGTGCTGTTCAGTGTGCCCCTGAACATGTATTGACAATAACACCGCGTAAGTTCCCATGGTCATGTTATTTCAAGTTCGCTTAGGGGAAATAAGTTCGAGTAGCAGACAGGCACAAGGAGTGTCTCTTTAAGTCAATTTCTTCCGGAGGGGCGTTAGACGTTCGGGTGGCCACTGCCGTAGGAAGGGGACGGCATTTTTGGACAACTTCTCAGTTTGTAGCATGGAAGGTAGTACGGAAAGTTGGGTTGAAATCGATGGCTCCTGGGCCAAATTGTGGAGGGTTCTGGGGAGCCTGAATTAATTGAATCTATCTTTGAAGGGTCCGGGAAGGAAGGGGGTGGTATCTATCAGCCTGGAAATGAGGCACCATGGCGCCCGGTGTCATACACACACTGATTTTACTCCGGCTATGACGCACCCCAGGGTAATCATTGGCACAAGCTTAGATACAACCCAGTGCTTTCACAATGATTGGCCCCAGGAAATGGGGAAGCACAAATTGTACGTGCCGACGACTCCTGAGTAAAAGCATGGGCAGGGTCTCTAGAGGGGGCTCTTTGAGCCCTCCCCTAGACAATTTTTGATAGATTCAAAATGCAAGAATGCAGTTTAGCACATATCTGAATTTAGTTTTTGCATCATACTACGCTTAATCGGAGATCTACATGAGGGGCGCTAATTTAAAATGCAGGTGTCACTGACACCGTGTCACTTGACCTCAAACCCGTCAAATGGGCGTGGCAACCCATACGGCTGCTTATAACAGGGGGCGCCAAAAGTTGTGATGTTGACACTTTTTAAATTGTCATCTTGTTATGGGGGGGGGGGGCAACAGTCATCTGCATGGCCCTGTTGGGAAATATGTGCTTGAGTGTGGGGGAAAATTTGGTAGGGGAGAGTTTGTTATGCTAGAGTTGGATAGAAGAGAGCTTGGTAGGGGAGAGTTTGTTAGAGTAGAGTTGGATAGAAGAGAGTTTGTTAGGGTAGAGTTGGATAGAAGAGAGTTTGGTAGGGGAGAGTTTGGTAGAAAGAGAGTTTGGTAGGGGAGAGTTTGGTAGGGAATGTTTAAAAAAAAAAGATAATTTTGGTTTACAAAAAAAATTGTTTTACATCAAGTTTTCCTAGTTAAAAACATTTCTGGCTAAGTAGTAGATTACTCAAACTGTCGGGTCTAATAACTCAAGAAAAACATGTCTGACACAATTTTGTATATTTTATTATTATTATTGCCTAGTTTGGAAGGCATTTGACCCCCCCCCCCCCAAAAAAAAAAAAAAAAAAAAAAAATTATCTTGCACCAAATGAACCATGGGGCTCAAACGAGTTCACGGTCCTGATTGAAATAGTTCATAACATCCAGCAGAAATAGACGTCATCAAAACTGATGAACTTTGCTAATGCTTTAATGGGGTTAGGGGAGTGGGGACATATCCTTTAAGACAAAATTACATCGTCTGCTATGAACGTATTCTAAACCAAGTCTGTCCAGGCAACAGTTTAAGATTAATTCTGTACAGGTAACAGTTTAAGATTAATTCTGTCCAGGTAACTGTTTAAGATTACTTCTGTCCAGGTAACTGTTTAAGATTAATTCTGTCCAGGTAACTGTTAAAGATTAATTCTGTCCAGGCAACTGTTTAAGATTAATTCTGTCCAGGTAACAGTTTAAGATTAATTCTGTCCAGGTAACTGTTTAGGATTAATTCTGTCCAGGTAACTGTTTAAGATTAATTCTGTCCTGGTAACAGTTTAAGATTAATTCTGTCCAGGTAACTGTTTAAGATTAATTCTGTCCAGGTAACAGTTTAAGATTGATTCTGTCCAGGTAACTGTTTAAGATTACTTCTGTCCAGGTAACTGATTAATTATGAGTTTCACTTGCTGTAGCTACTGCCGTCTGACCCGGACACAGTGGCGTTGCTAGGTTTAGTGTGGCGTTGCTAGGGTTAGTGTTGCGTTGCTAGGGCTAGTGTTAAGTTGCTAGGGTTAGTGTGGCGTTGCTAGGGTTAGTGTGGCGTTGCTAGGGCTAGTGTTGCGTTGCTAGGGCTAGTGTTGCGTTGCTAGGGTTAGTGTGGCGTTGCTAGGGTTAGGGCCGCCC